TCCCGCGCTTTCGGACGACACTGGCAGCTGCTCTTCACGCGAAAGCTCTCCACCCGCTACACCCGTCTTTGGACTCAGTCGTGCACCATCTATCTCTTTTGATGACCATTGTCAGCATATACCCACTGGCGACGGCACGGACATTGGTATTGTCGAACCAGACGCGGACTACTCGCTACCAGAAGCCATTTCCCGTCTCCTTAAACGCGGGCGGTTGGCGGACACAAGGACTGATAAAGTCCGCGCAGAGAGGCCGCTGCCGTCTGATATTTGGAGCGACGCGACTAGGGCCGATGACGACGCGTTCTTCGGTCTTGCCCATATACCCAACAGCGACTGCAAAAGTGTCGGGGACGTCGAGCCCGATGCATTGGACCCGGCTCTAGAATACGTCTCCCGTCCATTGAAACGGAAGCGATGCGCGGACACAAGCGCCTGTGACGTTCGTGCAAAGAGAGCGTGGACGTCTGGCACTTCGAGCGACGCAACTAAGGCCGAGGACCGTGCTTGTTTCGGTCTTGGGCATATTCCCATCCACGACTACACGAAGAGTAGGGTCGTCGACCCGGATGCTGTTCACGTGGCCCACCCCCGTATTGACCTATACGTGCCACTTGAAGCCACCGCGCGCCCGCCGAAGCGAAAACGCTGTGCGGACCCGACGACCGATGAGGTCCGTATGAAGAGAAGGCGGTTGTCTGACAGTCCAAGCGACGCGTCAAAGCTCAAGGATGGCGATCTTTTTGGACCTCACCCTCGATGCATGATTACGGGCTACGTGTCTGCTGAGGTAGAGGCGTGCTACATCCTGCCTCCCGACACGCCCCAACCGTTAGTGAGTAGGGCGGTTACTACTTCGGCCTCGCAGCTGACAAGGCAGCTTTGTAGAACGACTGCACGACGCTTCGCGTGCCTACTGACTCTAATGCCGTCCATTGTAGCACGCCTGCAAACATCATATTCCGTGCGTGCTTGCTGATAGCCAGTCCTTTAAACCTTCTCTTACAGCCCACATGCAGTCCGACGCGACCTGCGTTTACTATGGGAAACAAACCGCCTGTTAATAATACCCCATCCCGATCATATAAATCACCCCGATACCCGCCCTGTATGTATGGTATGCCCTTCCAGGTGGTCGCCGTACTCACAGTTGAGTAGGTGTACACATACCACGTCATCGCAGAGGATGAGCACCCTGCAGACTCGGGCAAACCCAGGGATGATACCACTACGCCTCCAGTTGCGACGGCTACTGGCTCGTATCGCTCGCTGGGGTGGCATGACCTGAGTGCAAATCTGCATCTGATGACAGTTCGAGTGGGTCGTGAATTCATCAAGCGACCGCTCCACTACCAGCACTTATTACCTATAGACGCTCTTGTACACATACCCTCTATCAGGCGGGTCCACCGAGATGCAGTCGAGCCGGTCTCCCCCTCCATTGAACAAGAGTCGCCAGTCGAAGACATGCTCCGCCCGCCGAAGCGGAAACGGTGTCCGGACACAGAGACTGATGAAGTTCCTACCAAGAGAGTACGCACGTCCGGCACTGCAAGTGAGGCGTCCAAGGACGGCATTCCTTTCGGACCTCACCCGAGGTGCATGATCACTGGGTGCGTGTCTGCTGATGTAGAGGCGTGTTATATACTGCCTCCCGACATGCCTCAGCTATTGGTGAGTAGGCATGACTGCTCCTTTGGCTTTGTGGCTGACAAGTGAATCAAAAGATCGACTACATGACATTCAACATGCGTACCGACTATGACACCTTCCTTTGTCACGAGCCTGAGAATATTATATTTCGTGCGTGGTTGATATGGTTCCCTTCGTCCTTTGAAGCCTCACCTACCGCATGCAGTTCGACGCGACCTCCGGGAACTGTGGGAAACGAACCGATTGTTGATGATACCACATCCTCAGCATTTAGAGCATCTTGAGTATTGCACTGTATGTGTTGTACGCACTCTTGACCAATCGTGTGCTTATGGTTACACAGGTGTACAAGTATTACGTCATCGCAGAGGACGAGCACCCTCCAGACTCATGCGCGACCATGGGACACCCTATCCCACCTTCCGTCATGACGGCACCATGTTCATATCGCTCGCTTGGATGGCACGAGCTGGACGCCGATCTCTATTCGATGGCTTTTCGAGCGGGTCGGAAATTGAGCAAGCGACCACTGCACTACCAGCATATCTTTCGGGAGTTGCTGCCCCACGAGGAGGTCAATCATGCATACAGCATAATCTTGCAGTATGTGTTGTGGACGCACCCCCTGCCTTTCGAGATGGTACCCAACAGACGGTTATGGACAACAGGCGAACTCTCACCCTGTCCTGACGGTTATTACTGCCGCCCCTTGACCGAATATTGCTCTCCCCTGTCGGATGACGACACAGCCCGCTTTCCTCGCCGATTTCGGCCAGTCGTCTCAGGGATAAAGAGGAAACGTTCTGGCGACACCAGGGTGGACAGTGAGCCCTGCACCATGAAAGAATATGCCCAGCAAGTAGCCAGCGTCCGTGAGTGGTGTCGGGATTGCGATCAAGCTCGAGACGAGTGGACGATAGGACCGCTTGCGGAACCTGATGACCCAGAGTTGCTCGTTTATCAACAAGAGGAAGCGAGCGATGTGGTACGTGCTATACAAGAACACTGGTCGGATCAAGACTATCTCTCAAGGTATGTTCTCTGATATATCTGCAGGTGCAAGTGTAACTGACGTCGTCTTATCCGAACACAAATCACATGCAGTCACGGTCCCGAATCGTGACATCCGGTCTTATACCTCATTCTGTTACGCTTTCCACATGCCGGACAGGTCTTGAATATACCCAGAAAGGTCTGTTAGAGTCGAACCGCCGTCGCGACTGGAGCTTCCGTGATCACGGTGTGTCACAGGCGACAATGGACTGCTCTTAGCCTTCCCGCTCTTCACTGATGAGCCAGACATGCTCCCTGATCGTGGGTGGCGATTGCTGGCAAGGGGCGGGATGTATAGTTGTATTGAAGAGCATTGCATTGCTTTGGTCCCCTCATGTTCGGTATATTCTCCTATGATGTCTGTAGCTCTCGGGCTATCGGCTGCATCTCGGAGTTTATTTCTGGCGGTGGCAGTGGCATGCAACTACATGCGTGGCGTCTATCAGGCGTCGCTACGTACCACCTTACTTCTGATGAGAACATCCGGTATGTTGAAACTGTGTCCATCTTGTTCCGTTTACTGATGTTCGGAACACAGGTTCTTGTTATTCAATGAACGATCCCCACCAATATGGCCGAACGGAGTGCAATCGTCAGACATCAAGATCTGACCTCGTTTTTCAAACCCGAGCATCCCTAGCATGCATGACAATCGCTAGCAGCAACACGACATACAATGCGAACTCATTTTACAATATACCCGTATGTGCATACAGCAGCGATTTGGTGTTGGTGACTGACGGAAAAGCACTTCAGGCCCTCGGTAGACTGGCCCGTGGGCATCAGCTTTTCGTATATCAATCAGTCTGTCTTCTGCGAGACGCGGCAGCTGACCTGCAAGCTTGTGTCGTCCATGCTGATCAATATTACTGCAAATCATCTTTCCCGACTTCCAATTCCGCCCTACCAGCGGCAGGCTTTGAGCTTCAGTAAGAATTGTAATTTCTTTCTCTGCCGTAATGACCAAGCATGGCAGCTGATACCGTCTTGCAGAAATCGTGGCCACTGTGATCCCGCCTTCCATGCATTGCTGCAATATCCGAACCACATGTTGTACCATCACGGCAATCTGTCGGTGTCTCTGAGCCATGCACATGGTTCGATTCATTCTGTTGACCGCCTCAGACACCTTCTCGTGTTATCATCAGCAGTTGCATATGCAGTTGCATATGCAGTTGCGTTGTAGGCGGCGGCAGAGATTAGGTAAGAGACGCATCTGTTGGGTAACACTCGCGTTTCCTGACTCGGTTCCACGGCTAGATCGTGGTGTGCTGCAAGCATGGGAGCATAACAACCATACGCGGCAGCTCAGCTCAACTGTGGCGCTGCATTTATATATCCGCTCTAAGACGAGCGCGACTGAGTCCGCAGCCTCTAGTCGGACCTCGTTACATTGTATATGAGGGCAATGCTGTAAGTTGATTCCTTGATCACGTCATACAAGCCGCTGATCCTATCTCCAAGACTGTCACCTCCATTCTTTTAGCGTCCTCTCCGTCGCAAGTCCAGATCCTCGCTATGTCATACAGGTTTGTTTGATCTGATAGTCGGACAAACAGACCGTCTTTGCACATATTCCACCAACGAGTTGCTAGACACCATTCGGTGACTGATCTGTTGACGGAGAGTCCGGTGGCACTGTTGCGTACAAACACTGGACCACTGCACGATCGTCGAGGAAAATTCACGCGTCCCTGCACAACCAGGTCATCGCTCTATACCCAACCGCTTCCTCGCTAAGAAGGCTGAATGATGGCATCGCCGCGCTCTCTTGCTCGACCTCGCACTTCAAATAACTCTCGTACTGGGCGTCCAAATGGCTCAAGAGCAATCCAAGCGAATCGGCCGCGTGGTCCATGTGCTGAGATTGCCGCCTCAACCCTACAATGGAGGATTCCGCGCGACTCGCACCGAGGACCGATGATACAACCGCCCAGTATGTGAGCCAGCTTTCTCGAGCTGCCGTGATCTAACCTCCTGTAGAGTTCCACCGCCTGTTCATGTTGAAGCTGGACTAGACACGAGACATGTACCCACCCGGTATTCCCTCAGGAATAGTGCGATACGCTCGAGAGACGCGCTCGCTTCACGATACCTCATGCATCATGCCGTGCTCAATCTTCCTAGTCGCTATCCTTGGTCCACGCACTGCACATAGAGCCCCCATTCCGCGACGCTGGTGCTCTCGTTCTCGTCGATTCCTCGAACCCAACGGGACGTTTTCCTTTGTTCACGTGTTAGCAGCTATGCGTGCCGTACTCACTCGTCTTCTTGCGAAATCACAGGGACGATGTTCTGACACATCAACATGGGTCCTTGGGGAGCGTGGCTCTACATGTAGCAACAGGTAATGGACAATCGGCCTATCTGTTCTTCGTAAACAGAGGGTCACGGAATGTTAGGCTTGTGAATGTTACAACACTATTACGACAATGTCATCTTATCGGCACCTGAGGGCTCGTTGTGAATGTGCTCTTGACTCAGGACTCGGCGCATGCGGTGGCAGCACAAGAGTGGACAACTATAAGGAGGCATACAATGAGGCTGAGCATGAGTGTCATTGCTAGTACGCGACTGTGAAGTCGGTGAATGGATGACTCCTCAGATGTTCACGCGTCAATGAAAAAGCACAGCTGATTAGTGGTCTATTCATGCAACGAAATGCTGCTCACAGTAGCAGTGCCGCGGAACATTGCAAGGAAATGGCAGGATTACGTTAGCTCACATATGGGATCACACTGTGCAGTCAACGGCTATCTGCAGGACGAACTCATTTGCCAATGCCAGCAGCGTCGACTAATCGCCAGCATCATTGCCCATATCCAGTGGGATCCAGCACACGGTGGGCTCGTATGCTCCGGGTCCCCCCGGAGTATTGACAGTCTCTAGAACAGTCTCCAAAGAGCACGAGTTGCGTGTCGAAGAGCTAGCATCTCGTCTTGCGCGGTTGGGATTGTCATCACAAGCTAAGGGGCCAAGGACCTGGCACGGATAAGCTCACTCAAGCCTACGAATATCGAGATCGGGCGAGGTCGCGCGGACACAATTCCGGGCTATGAGGAAGAGGCAGCAAAAGCGAGCATAAACACTAGTTCATTGTGGCCTCAATCTTGCTTGCAAATGCGCGGAAAATTGCGCAAGACACTTTGCTAGCGGAACGGCCGCTTGTCGAATCTCCTGCTCGGTTCACGGGGCCATTAGGACAGTGGACAAGCGCTAGGCAGCTGGCGGCAATATCTTTGAGGGCCGTCATGGGACAAAAAGGGTACAACATTACCTAATATTCCTAAAAAGTGACTATTATTGTCCAATAACGGCCTTCATAAATATCCGAGATCACGATTGACGATGCAACGGGCGCCAGCGGTTCACAGTAGCTGAGGCCTGTTGGAACAACCGGGCGAGCACATGCCCGACTACCGGCTCGCCGACGTGCCGCGCTGTGGCGCGATAGTACCTTGTTCCTTCATACCTGATTTAGATAAGTGTTTACTATATTAGGCCGAGTTCTCGCATGTAATTACTTCGTGCGTTTGCCTCCCCGCCCCGAGGACGAGACAAACCGCTTCGTATTTGATCTTTTCCCGTGCTGCTCGCTTCCGTAAACCTTCGCGCTCGCTTGTTCGAACCCGACGCTGACACTCATTTCTACAAGGCCTAGCTCCCCCTCTATGCCGATGTGCAGCCCTCTGTGTCCGGGTTTTAAATTCAAACACAGCTGTTCTCTATAAACATAAACACCCACCCGTGGCTAACCACTGAAGCTTACTATGCACCAGCCCACAGGTGTAGTAACAGGCCACATTATGTGCTATGTCCACACCTGGTGATAGCACCTGCTGCAGTGCACCCCACCTGTCGTGACTTGAAGTCAAGTGACAGGGGAGGAACAAACGTAAGGCCCAGGGGTGTTTGACTGAGTGTTGACCGAAGCAATAAACGAGCAGGGCTCAAGTTCAAGGCTAGGGACAAGAAATGTATTAGTTAGTGAAGGTAAGTAAGCAGTACATGAAAGCTTACTGACCTAGGGACAAGAGGTCAAAACTGAGGTCCCTAGGGCAGTGTCGCAACTTAGGTGTCACGACTTGGTACAGCGTCTAGCCGTTTTTTTTAATGTTTTCCTTTTCGTGGGCTCAAACCCGCGACCTCTGTACTATATGCCTGATATGGACACATCATAGCTACTGTACGATTAGATTAGATAGGACGGCAGTGCGCGGCACAGCTTGGGTGTCGCGACTTGAGGTCAAGCGACAGGGGAATATCTGAAAGTGAGGGGCGTTCAACTGGTTCTCACCGAAGCGATGGTGAGCGAGGCTCAAACCTAAGGCTAGGGACAAGAAATGTATTAGTTAGTGTAAGGTAAGTAAGAGAATACAGGAGCTTACTGACCTAGGGACAAGAGGTCGAAACTGAGGTCCCTAGGGCAGCAGAGGCCAGCTTATATACATGGGGAGATAAGGGCAGGCTGTGTGCGCTGGTCCGTGCGCAGCATGCTGACGCGGTCCTGGGGGCCGATGAGTCAGAGCGGCTGTGTCAGCGGGGCCCGAGCTGTGCCGTGCGCTGCCGCCCCATCTAATCTAATCGTACAGTAGATAGTGACGCGTCCATATCAGGCAGGTAGTACAGAGGTCGCGGGTTCGAGCCCGTGAAAAGGAAAAATTAAAAAACGGCTAGGCGCCGTACCAACTCGTGACACAAATGCCCCCAGCTTTTTAGGTTTTCCCTGTTGCTTGACCTCAAGTCGCGACATTTGGTCGAAACTCTCATAGCTGCTGGTGTTCTCTCGGAACCCAAACACTCACTTTTCCTCTCCTATAGGTTGGGTGGTGCGCACCCTTACTATACCCTACGATATGTAGATAGCCTACGGTACATCGTCACCACTTAAGGAACGAACTCTTTGGTATTTGCACTTCAGTGGGCAATACTTGTCCTCACGGACGTGTGGCTTAGGTTCCTGCTGCATACTAGCCAAAAGCAGTACTGGGCCCCACGTGAACTGCGAACCTTAGTGTCTTCTCAGGCGCCATAGGTGTAAGCTAGCTAGCACAGCCTTTTGTAGCACGCACACCTCCCCTTCCTCCCCCCATCACTGTGGCTGACAAATTCTTCAACTGCTCTCGACTTGAGCATGCCTTTGACACCCAGGAGCAGGTCGACGTCTCTTGCGACGACCCAGAAAGCAATGGAAACCTAACCCCTTTCTTCATCTGTGATTGGCAACTGTGCCCTAATCGTACTCCATGGTCCATCACTACCAATGAAGGGCGCTACGTACCAATCTGACGAGTCCAACACCCCAGCGGCCCTGCACTCCGGTACGCTGGCACTTCGCGATTCACATCTTGCCACGTCACTCCTGCCCCATCTCGACCCGCCTCCCCAGGCACCCGCATCCCCCAACCTGTTGCCAGTACAGGTCAAGCGCGAGGAGATCCCAATCTCCCTCGAGGAACTGAGGCAGTCGCACAGCCTACAGCGACCCCTCAAGCGATCCCCCAGCCCTCCCTGAGGCTGCAGTTGGAAAGACCTCCCAAGACCGAGCCCCGCGACACTCCACTGCATTCTTGGGCTGGCTTGTCGTCAGCAGTCACCACCTCGACTTCAGTCTCTGTTCTACGTTACCCTGCCTCCGGGCTTCCTCAATCATCTTCACCGCCGTCGCCGCCGCGAGGCCACCCGAGCACTCGTTCCTCACGAAGTTCACCCGGTGGACAGTCACAACAGTCGCCTCCGTCCACGGGCAGTCCTTCATCCCCCTCGTCGCCGATAATGTCCTCTCCCGCTGCCGCCCCTGATAAGGAGACGCTGAAGCTCCTGCTCCTGCTCCGATATGATGGGAAGTCAGTGGTCGAATGCAACCGCTTTATCTCGCAGTTGCTCATCTACTGGACGATCAACACAGCCCTCTCTTCCCTCGAGCTGAAAATCCAGGTTGCCCTCAGTCTCCTCGATGGAGATGTGTGAGCTTGGGCCACCCCCATCTTCTCCCAGCTTGCCTCCATCCAAATTGGGATCCAGGGAGCGGCAACCCCCTTCGCCGACGAAGCAGCCTTCCTTAAAGCATTCAAGGCCCGCTTCGGCAATCTTGACAACGCCACCGCTGCACAAATAGAGCTCACCAAGCTTTGTGCTGACAAAACCATATGTGAGAAGCGCACCGCCGCAGCATTCTCTGCATTATTCAAGGGTCCGGCAGACCGCTCCGGGTATGGTAACCTGGAGCTCCACGACAAGTACCTGAGCAGCATCCCCTCCCGGGTCTACCGGAAGATCGAGCTCGAGACGTTCGCCACGTGACGAGAAGCCGACAGACATGCCACCGAGGTCGAACAGATCCTCAATGTCAGCCAGGCCCGACGGCACAAGTTGAACAACTTCTTCTCATCTTGAGGACGGGGACATGGTGGAGCACGTGGTGGTGCACCCTCATCACACGGAGCTTCGGCCAGCCTCAACGCGGCTGTCGGAAAAGGGGACTTCCCCGTGTCACGAGTTGGTACGGTGCCTAGCCATTTTTTAATTTTTTCCTTTTCGCGGGCTTGAACCCGCGACCTCTGTACTACATGCCTGATATGGACACATCATATCTACTGTACGATTAGATTAGATGGGGCAGCAGTGCACGGCACAGCTCGGGCTCCACTGACACAGCTGCTCTGACTCACCAGCCCCCGGGGCCGCGTTGGCATGCTGTGCACAGACCAGCTGCGCATGGACCAGTGCGCACAGCCTGCCCTTATCCTCCCCTGTATATAAGCTGGCCTCTGCTGCCCTAGGGACCTCAGTTTTGACCTCTTGTCCCTAGGTCAGTAAGCCTTCACTTGTATTCTTTCTTACCTTACTAACTAATACATTTACTTGTCCCTAGCCTTAGGTTTGAGCCCAGCTCGCCATCGCTTCGGTAAGAACTAAGTCGAACGCCCCCAGCGCCTTTGTTTGGTTTTCCCCTGTCGCTTGACCCTAAGTGGTGACATTAGGTCGAAACTCCTCACCACTGCCGGCGTTCACCGGAACTCACTCACTTTCTCACTTCCTATAGGTCGGGTGGTGCGCACCCTTACGATACCATACAATACATAGATAGCCTACGTTACATCGCCAACACTCAGGGAACGAACCTTTCAGCACCTGCACTTCAGTGGGCGGTGCTTGTCCTTAACCGGATGCGTGGACTAGGTTCCTGCTGCATACTAGCCAAAAGCAGTACTGGGCCCCACGTGAATTGCGAACCCTAGTGTCATCTTGGGTGCCATAGGTGTAAGCTAGTCTACCACGGCCTTTCGTAGTACGTGCACCTTCCCATCCTCTCCCCATCCATCGTGGCTGCCTGTCAAGGCCAGATCCACGCATTCGACTCTCAGGATCTCATCAACGTCTACATCCCAGACGGCCCTGAGACTGTCCTCTACCATTGCGAGCAGCAGCCGTGCCCAAATCGGACACCCCGATCGATCGAGGAGGATTACCCTTGCTACAAGGCAATCAGAAGGGCTCAACACCCCCTCGGCCCCCGCAGCACCCTCGCATCTCGATCCGCCTTGTGGCATTCTCGCCCTGTTTCCCCCAGCTCCCGACTTCCTCAAGCTGTCGTCACCGGTCCAAGTCAAACGCGAGGAGATCTCCCTCCAGACCCTGCGCCAGAGCCTGAGCCTGAGGAGAGTGCAAGTGAAGAAGGAGTCTCGAAGTCCGAGTCTGCGGATCCTGCTCGGGCCACCCCGCCGACAGCGCTCGCCTCCACGTCAGCAGTCCCTGACGTACGTGACCCCCCCACCAAACTTCCTTCGGCGCCTTCACCGCCGACTCCGCCGAGAGGCCGCTCGAGCACTCGCTCCTCTCGAAGTTCGACCAGCGGAGGGCCACCACAGCTGCCTCCGCCCCCACAACGTCCTCCGTCCCCCCCGACGCCAATAATGTCGTCCCCCGTAGCTGCCCCCGACAAGGAGACTTTGAAGCTTCTCCTCCCACTCCGATACGATGGCAAAACAGTCATCGAATGCAACCGGTTCCTGTCGCAGCTGCGCATCTACTGGCTGGTCAACACGTCATTGACCACCATCGAGCTTAAGGTGCAGGTCGCACTAAGCCTGCTCGATGGAGACGCCCGCACCTGGGCCACTCCCTACTTCGCCCAGCTCGTGTCGGTGCAGATAGGAGTACAAGGGGCCACGACCCCATTCAGGAACGAAGCAGCCTTTGCCGCCGCCTTCAAGGCCCGCTTCGGAAATCTCAACGACGAGGCGGCAGCACAAGTAGAGCTGGTGAAGCTCTGCGCGGACAAGTCGGTCTGTGAAAAACGCACCGCTGCAGAGTTCTCCGTGCTGTTCAAAGGTCCAGCGGACCGCTCCGGGTATGGGGACCTGGAGCTACGCGACAAGTACCTGAGCGGCATCCCCTCCCGCGTCTACTGCAAGATCGAGCTCGAGACCTTCACCACGTGGCAAGCAGCTGAGAAGCGCGCCACCGAGGTCGAGCAGATCCTCAACATCAGCCAGGCCCGTCGGCCCGAGCTAAACAACTTCTTCTCGGCACGAGGTCGAGGATGCGGAGGGGCACGTGGTGGTGCACCCCCGTCACACGCAGCTTCGGCCAGCATCAATGCGGCTGTCAGAAAAGGAAACTTCCCCGGCAGTTGTTTCGGCTGTGGGAAGCAAGGGTACCGACACTTCGAGTACCCCAATTGTAAGGACAAGCCTTACACAAAACGTGCCAACACGCGGGCTACAGTTGCCTCGGGCTCCACCCAGGCTGCGACAAGCGCCCCCGTCACAACAACACCCTCGGCAAGTATAAGTGCCGCTTCAGCGAAATACGAGCAATCGGAGCTGGCGGACTTAATGGCACAGGTGAAGTCGATGTGTGAGAAGCTCGAGCACTATCGGGCGATGAAGGAGGAGGGTTTTTAATCTGGTCCGCGCTTCGTGCCGCATGTGTCGGGCTGCAAGTATCTTCTTGTAACAAGTATAATGTATTGTCGACTGCAATGGTGTATGAATTGGACCAGGGGTCCCAACACTTTCACATTCCAGTCCGACTCCAAGGAAAAAGACGGCACAAGGACATAATCGTTATGGTGGACAGCGGAGCCACCACGAAGTTTATCAACAAGTGATTCATTGAAGAGAATAAGGTGCAAACGCGGAAATTGAAAGAGCCGATTCCGCTGTACAATATCGACGGCACCCTAAACAAAGACGGAAGCATCTCGGAAGTAGCAGTGCTACAGATGCACATAGGAGAACACGTCGAGAAGACAGTGTTTACGGTCATGGACATCGGTCCAGAGGATGTGATTGTAGGGTTGGATTGGCTACGCGAGCACAACCCCGAAATTGATTGGGAAGAAGGCTCCCTAAAGCTATCATGATGCCCTGAAACGTGCAGTGCCAGAAGGACTGGCCGAATGGAACAAGCAGCGACTGCGCGTGATACGGGGGTTAGGCCCACGGCGCGCAGGCGTTCACTGAAGCCCAAACAGTCGGTTATAGGTGCTTGCCGGAGTAAGGTGCTCCCGGACTTCGAACCCGAAGAAGATCCGGTGGAAGTAGAGTGGGATGAGGCCGATTTGATCGAAGCCTGGGAGCAAGGCATCACGCTTCCTGGCGCTCCTCAGCTGTTTGTTGCAGCAGGGCATACGTACTCCCAGCTGTTCGCTGAGGAGGAGATCAAAAAGAAGGTCGTTAAGACCGCTGAGGAGTCGGTGCCCAAGCAGTACCAGGACTTCCTGAATGTCTTCTCCAAAGAAGCATCAGAACGGCTGCCCGAAAGGAAGCCTTATGATCACGCAATCGAACTCGTGCCCGGCTATTCGACATTCCATTCGAAGGTGTACCCCCTGTCGAACAATGAGCAGGAGGAGCTTGACAGGTTCCTCAAGGAGCAACTAGCGAAGGGCTACATACGGGAGTCGAAGTTGCCAATCTCGTCCCCCTTCTTCTTCATCAAAAAGAAGGAAGGAACACTTCGACCCGTGCAGGATTACCGCTGGTTGAATGCGATCACCGTTAAAAATCGCTATCCCCTGCCGCTGATCGCCGAAATGGTGGATAAGCTCCGCGGTGCCACGCTCTTCACGAAGTTCGATGTCAGATGGGGGTACAACAACGTCCGGATCAAAGCCGGTGATGAGTGGAAGGCAGCTTTTGTGACTAACCGGGGGCTATATGAGCCCTTGGTAATGTTCTTCGGTCTCACCAACTCCCCCGCGACCTTCCAGGCGATGATGAATGAGATCTTCCACGACCTCATCGTCGGTGGCAAGGTCCTCGTGTACCTGGACGATATACTCATCTTCTCCACCAACAAGGAGGAGCATGAGAAGGTCACACGCGAGGTTCTTTGTCGCCTTCAGGACAATGATCTATTCCTGAAGCCTGAGAAATGCAAATGGGATGTTCCCAAGGTCGACTACGTCGGCTATGTGTTCGGTGGCAATGAGGTAGCGATGGATCCCGTAAAGCTAAAAGGAATTAATGAGTGGCCGGTACCCTGGAACAAGAAAGATGTTCAGAAGTTCCGGGGGTTCTCCAACTTTTACCGCCGTTTCATTAAGGACTTCGCTAAGATCTCGCGACCACTCGACTGGCTCATAGGGAACGACCCATGGCATTGGGGCGAAGAGGAGCAGCACGCCTTCGACAAGCTCAAGCGGCTCTTCGCGACGACTCCCGTCCTAGCGCTGTACGATCCTAACCAAGAGACATGCATTGAGGTTGACGCCTTGGGCTACGCCACCAGCGGCGTGTTAATGCAGAAGCAGGATGACGGCAAGTGGCATCCCATCGCCTTCAGATCTCATGCGATGGATCCGGCACAGCGGAACTACGAGATCTACGATAAGGAGATGCTCGCGATTATTGAGGCACTAGATGATTGGCGCCACTATCTCGAGGGGTTACCCAATCAGTTCGAGATCATCACCGATCACAAGAACCTCGAGTACTGGCGCACATCCCAGCATCTCACGTGTCGCCAAGCCCGCTGGTCGCTGTTCCTAGCTCGCTTTGACTTCCGTATCACGCACAAGGCCGGGACATCGAATGGAAAAGCTGATGCCCTGTCACGTCGATCAAACCATCAGATCGGCGATGAGGACGATAATACCGATCAGGTAGTTCTCAAGCCAGAGCGCTTCCGCATCGCCTCCGCCAGGCACGGTCATGCCTCGGTGACGGCCAATCAGTTGCTTCTGAAGCGCATTCGGGAGTGTTCGGAGAAGGATCGGGAGGTGGCCGAGGCACTTGAAAAGGTGCAGGACCTCGGGCCTCCCCGGCTTCAAAGGGGCTTTGAGGAGTGGAATGCCGAACAAGGGCTCCTGCTGTTCCGCGGGTGTGTGTACGTCCCAAAGAATGCGGAGCTCCGGCGGGATATAGTCAAGATCCACCACGACTCGCCGATTGCCGGTCATGGCGGTCGTGCCAAAACCCTGGAGCTCATATCGCGGAACTATTGGTGGCCTGGGATGTCTAAATTTGTCAATGAGTACATAAGCACCTGTGACATGTGCAATCGTACCAAGACATTCCCAGCCAAGCCCCAGGGTCTGCTGAAGCCGAATGAGATCCCCGAGCGCCCGTGGCAGATCATCACGACCGATATGATCGTCGGCTTGCCAAAGTCTGATGGATTCGACTCGATCCTGGTCACCACCGACCGCTTTACCAAGCAGGTCCACTTCTCAGCCTGTTATGAGACCCTGATGGCAGAAGGTGCGGCAGACCTGTACATCCGCGATGTGTTCAAGCATCATGGGGCCCTGGCCAAGGTCATATCAGACTGAGGTCCCCAGTTCGCTTCGAAGTATCTCCATGTGGTGTACAAGGGACTAGGGATCGAGCCGGCGCTGTCCACAGCGTTCCACCCTCAGACGGACGGTGATACGACCTACGAAACCCTAACCCCTAACCTGGGTGCGACCTAAAGGGACTAGAGAGACGGATTATAGTCTAATGAGAGGGGAGTTAGCAGCAAGGTGTCCCACAGTTCGAGTGAACACGAGAAACACCCTTGGAAAAGGTTACGAACAACGGGGAAGGTACGAGGTGGCTTCGACACGTCGTCGAAGCTACTCGGAGGCTGTGGGTGGTTAGCCGAGACGATCGAAGCTCGACAGAGCTCTTCGATGTATCGTAGATAGAAGAGACACGATTCGATGGGGGGGGACTTAGCTTAGTACGTGGTTCGAGGTGCAACGCAGTTCTTCGACAATAGCCGAAGTCGAAAGGTTCATCGAGACGGTATCGATGAGTAAACGCAGTAGACGAGGTTTCGAGGTTACGCAGTGAGGAACGAAGTGACGCAGTTGAGGGCTTAGACGCAGGGCGAACTCGACTTATGAGCTCTGAACTCGAGGGGGGAACCGGATCTTGTATTTTTGGAGAGAAGTATGACAGAATTTATACTACACAGGATGCTACGACTATCGAGAGTGGCACACTAGTACAAGGGGCTTGGCATTGTTCCTCAAGAAGCTGCCTCACCGAGGGGCACATACCAAGTCCATCGGTAGAGTGACGTCATGCCGAACGCGGAGATGAAGAGCAACATATGGCCACTTCGGACCGGTAGCCGTCGTGAAGGCATGCCGCGAGGTTCGATATCTAATCGGGACAGACCGGCTATGTCGGTGTGGCATGGAGCGATGCACA